CTTTCTTTCGTCATCGTTTTTCGTTTCCAAAGGTTTGCAGATCCTATTTCCGTTCGTCTTTCATCATTTGTTCTTCGGTTTCGGCTTTTGTTTCAGTTATCTTCTAATTTCCCGCAAGTTGGTGAGTATTTTTTTTTTTACTTTCCAGTGATGTTTTTTATTTTTTTTAGGTTATGTTTGTGGTTGTATATCTTCGCAATACTTGTATTTTTTCTGTATTTGCTGATTTCGTTGTTCTTCAAGTAAAGGAAAAACTATTCTTAGTTGTGTTGTTTTTTTTTTCCCTATTTGTTGCTATTTTAGTTTATGACTGGTACATAGATAATATAATAGTCATGCAACGGTGTTGTTTTTGTGCTAAATCTGTTGCGAAGAATACATTGTTCATTTTTATTGTTAGTTTATGCTATTTTAGTTTATGAAAATTGCATAGATAGTATATTTTTTATGCATATGTAGTTGTTTTTTGTACTAGAACTGTTGAGAACATTTCGTTTTTTCTCGTCTCTGTATTAGAGCTTGTACAATGCATAAATATTGTATGTTCATTGTATTGTTGCTATATTAGTGAATAAAGTATTCATATATAATTTATGTTTTTTGCTTAATTAGTTATCAAATGTTGCTTGATATGTTCATATTTACTTATTGTTGTATCAGTGCTTGTATGACGCTAGATAGTGAATATATTAGTGCTTGACATGTCCATATCTACAATGTTGCAATTTAGTTGGCTGTGGTTGCACATTTAGTTCTTATTAGTTGCATATTTAGTTGGTTGAGTTTGCATATCTAGTTTATATGAGTTGCATATTTAGTTGGTTATAATTTATTTCATTTTTGTGTTATTGTAAGACAGATATTCTTGAAGTATGCCTCGCGTTAAGAGTACTAAGCGTAAAAGAACTAACCAAGATGTTGATGATATTCACTTTCTTACTGATGGCAAAGAAGGTCAGGCGGATGTTAATAATCCCTTCCCAAAAGTGATAACTCGGTCTTCTCCGAAGATCCTAGTGGATGCTATGAAATCTTTTAACCAACAACAGCGAATAGCTGTTGAGCAGATGGGGTTTGGATGTCTGTTTCATCTCCAAATCAAGGAATTTCCGACTCAGTTGGTGCACTGGTTGTTGTCAAATTTTGATCCTATTAGTTGCCAGCTTGATCTTGGGAAAGGTAGAGGTATTCATGTGTCGTCTGTGGATGTTCTGCGTGTTCTAGGCTTTCCCAATGGTGGTAAGCCTATTGAGAAGAAAAAAAAATCTGAAGAGTGTGATTTGTTGGATAGATGGAGGGGTCAATTTGTTGAGAAGAAAATTACCCCTGACATTTTATGCAAGAAAATGATGGAGTGTGTTAATGGAGATGAGTGGTTCAAGTTACATTTTCTTGCTCTTGTGGATTGTCTGATTGTGGGTACAAACCAGTGTGGATATGTGGATCCTCTTTTTTTCAAGTCTATTTCTGATTTGTCAGTTGTATTTAAGTTGAAGTGGTGCGACTACATCATCCAGAACCTTATATCAAAGAGTGATCATTGGCACCAGAGTAATAAGAAGTCTCAGTTTAATGGTCCTGTTCTTTTTCTTGTGGTAAGTATTCATCTCTATATTATTTCTTATAAATTTGTTTAGATTGTTATTCTTTGATATTTTTATTTATTTATTTGTCAAAACGCAGGTTTTATATGTTGATCGTGTAGTGATTTATGAACGAGATGTTCTTCCAAGGAGTGTGCCTTCGTTTGTTGGATGGAATTGTGAGATTCTCCGTCGACGATGCTCTAAAGAAATGAAGGTTGGTGGTTTTGGCCGGGGATTTGTTGATGAACCGAAGGAGATTCCGCCTTTGCAGTTCAAGAGACCTGAATTAAAGGATGTTTGTGATGATCCTGTACATGTTTGTTATTCCTTTTTTTGGTTTTTGTTGCATATGTAGTTGATATGAGTTGCATAAGTAGTTGATACGAGTTGCATATTTAGTTCATATGAGTTGCATTCTTAGTTGATATGAGTTGCATATTTTGTTGATACGAGTTGCATATTTAGTTGTTGGGAGTTGCATATTTAGTTGATACGAGTTGCATATTTAGTTGTTGGGAGTTGCATATTTAGTTGATATCAGTTGCATATGTAGTTAATAAAAGTTGCATATTCGTTATGGTTAATGCTTAGTTCATCTGTTGTGGATGTTTAGTTCTTATGTGTT